GGCAAGGCCATGGGTGCCAAACGTTAAGTGTGTCCTAATAAGACCAACTCGATTTCAGTGCCTTGGTCTCTAGGGCAAACAACAGTACTCTCCTCCAAAAAGAAATTTGCCTTTTCTTTTTGTTTCCTTCTCCGAAACTTTAGTTTTTTTTAGTTATTCTCAATACTGTCATGAGTCCTTTTGATTTAAGCTTGGACTTCTTACTATAAGCGAGTCCAAAATTCACATGCAACCTAACCTAAGGTTGTACATGTATCCATTAGATAGGCCAATAGATAGAGATATACAAAGAAACTAGATTTTGACATGTGCTTTTCAAGCGTGAAAACTTTTTATGATTAAAAATTTATATAGTTAGGTTTTGTCTTAATTTAAAGAATGTTTTGGTATAAAATCAGTTCACCAAAATTTGTGGTGATGATTGTTTTCATTAGTTTTTAGTTTTAGTTTTTATTTTTAGATTTTGGTTTTGGTTTTGGTTTTTAGTTTTTAAGTTTCTATTTTTGATTTTCAGCTTTTGGTTTGAGTTTTTAATTTTTAGACCTAGTGAGTTAGTTTGAACTGATATTACCAACAAACAAATCTCAAATAATTGAACATTTAATTTAAAACCTAAAAGATGACAAAAAATTTTGCAATAGTTTATTTTGTAAATAACAAAAGCAAAAAATATAAACTGCGTTTTCAGCTTTTGGTTTTGGATTTTAGTTTTTAGATTTGGTTTTTGGTTTTGCTTTACATTTCTTTTAAATCAGTAAATTGTTTAATAAAAATAAATTATTTAAAAGTTACAATTGAAATTTATCAAAACAAAATGATTGTTATTTAAAATAAAAAATACATTAACATGTTTTAAAGTACATGATTTAAATAAATGATTAATAATAGACAATTTTGTTTTGTTAAAAATATTAAATACATTTTGGGTTTGAAAATAATAATTGATTTTTTGATCCATTAAGCTGGAAAGTATATTCAATGGTTTTTGGAGCTTTTCCTTAATACTAAGCCCAAAAACTAAACCATGTAATTTGCTCTAAAATCAAAAGTAAGCCTAAGACTATATCCTATAAATAACTACCGGTTTAATTTAAGTAATGCGGTTCAATTGACTATATGGCTTGTATTATTTGTAACACTCTAGAAAAAGTCCAAACTTAAATGACAACTTGTATTAGTAAATAAAAAGAAGGATTATAT